TTGAGCGCCTGCCACATGGTGGTCCGTGCACGTCATAGTGACCGCTCATTAATTGTTAGGTCTATTTACATATTAGCCTTTTATTATATAGGACTAGAGGCCTATTGCACGAACAGATTTGTCAATAGGCCTTCCATTCCCCTGGTGCCAGCACCGGTTTTCCTCTGAACCCGGGACCCAGGGCTTCGCTCCAGACCGGAGCCCTCCGTCTTTGCTCCGCGTTCTCGCTACGATGCAAATTAACTGCCATCTTGTTGGGTTAATTTGCATACTCTCCTGATTGGTGGTGAGCGAGCAGAGGGATGGGCATTTACATGTTTGCCTATTATTAGGTAAGATGATATTTGTTTATTAATGAAGAATGGTTATAACTTTCCCATCTTTATTGAAAATGTTGGTTTTGATACTAGGAGGGATTCTTTCAAGTTCTGAAACTAAGGAATCATTTTGATAGATTTCTTCACTTGATTACATTTATAATATGCATCCTCAATATTGATCTCTACAGGTAACCCTGAGGTAACTAAAGCTTAACCCCATCTTTTTATGAAACCATTCCAGCATTGTTTTCCTGAATATATTTTTAATACAATGTTGGAAATAGATGTGGGGATCTTGAGAAGGTAGATTACATAGATAGAATGTATTACTTGATATTGCCCTCAGCCACACTGTCACAAAAGAGCTTTAATTTTCACATGCAAAAGGGTGTGAATGGTTCATCAAACTCAGAAATGTTAGGGGAAATCCAATTGCAGGTAAAAGTCAAGAATCCATTTTGTTCATGAGAAGTTATATTGCTTGTAAAATTTACAAGAGAGTGAAATGAGCACATTCACAAGAAGAAAAACAGTATTTCCTCAATCGCTGGAAGTTTTTGACATATAACTCCATGTAATATCGTTATAAAACAAATGCAAATAATTATCAGTAGGTTATTAAAAACTTAAAATTATTAAAGAATTCAAAAAACTAGAAAACATAGGAATTAGTTTGACTTGGTGAATTAAACTCTGTATCACAAAATCAGAGACTATATTTTTAATTTAATTTTAATTTAATTTTATTTTTTTCTGGTAGTTACTTGTATTTTCTTTTTTTTTATTCTTTTTTTTATTATTAAATCTTTATTGTTCAGATTACATTTGTTCCTCTTTTTTTTTTCCCATAACTCCCCTCCTCCCAGTTCCCACCCCACCCTCCGCCCTCACTCCCCACCCACTGTCCTCATCCATAGGTGCACGATTTTTGTCCAGTCTCTTCCCGCATCTCCCATTCCCCTTTCCCCCCCCAAGAATAGTCAGTCCATTCCCTTTCTATGTCCCTGATTCATTGTAATCACCAGTTCATTCTGTACATCAGATTAT